GTGCGTCTGGAGCCTGTATTCTGCAATAGGAGAGGCCACGATAGTGAGAGGCACGTGCACCGTGATGGAGAGTGGCCCCTGCTGGCTGCAACTGGAGAAGGCCCTCGCACAGAAACGAAGACCCAACACAGCCATAAAAAAAAAAAAAATTATCAGCTGATTTTTCAGCAGAAATTCTGCAGGCCAAAAGGGAGTAGCAGGATATATTTAAAATGATGAAAGGGAAAAACCTACAACCAAGATTACTCTACCCAGCAAGGATCTCATTCAGTTTCTAGGGGGAAATCAAAAGCTTTACAGACAAGCAAAAAAGTTAAGAGAATTCAGCACCACCAAACCAGCTTTACAACAAATGATAAAGGAACTTCTTGAGGCAGGAGACACAACAGAAAGAAAAGACCTACAAAAACAAATCCAAAACAATTAAGAAAATCATAATAGGAACATACATACCAATAATTACCTTAAATGTGAATGGATTAAATGCTCCAACCAAAAGACACAGACTGGCTGAATGGATACAAAAACAAGACACACATATACGCTGTCTACAAGAGACCCACTTCAGACCTAGGTACACATACAGACTAAAAGTGAGGGGATGGAAGAACATATTCCATGTAAATGGAAATCAAAAGAAAGCTGGAGTAGCAATACTCATATCAGATAAAATAGACTTTAAAATAAAGAATGTTACAGGAGACAAGGAAGGACACTACATAATGATCAAGGGATCAATCCAAGAAGATAGAACAATTATAAATATATATGCACCCAATATCAGAGTACCTCCATACATAAGGCAAATGCTAACAGCTATAAAAGATGAAATTGACAGTAACACAGTAATAGTGGGGGACTGTAACACCTCACTTACACCAATGGGCAGATCATCCAGACAGAAAGTTAATAAGGAAACACAAGCTTTAAGTGACACAACAGACCAGATAGATTTAATTGATATTTATAGAATACACTTTCCTCTCAAGTGCACATGAAGATTTCTCCAGGATAGATCACATTTTGGGTCACAAAACAAGCCTCACTGAATTTAAGAAAATTGAAATCATATCAAAGCATCTTTTCTGACCACAACAATATGAGATTAGAAATCAATTACAGGGGAAAACTAGTAAAACCCACAAACACATGGAGACTAAACAATATGCTACTAGATAACCAAGAGTTCTCTGAAGAAATCAAAGAGGAAATCAAAAAATACCTGGAGACAAATGACAATGAAAACGTGATGATCCCAAACCTACAGGGTGCAGCAAAAGCTGTTTTAAGAGGGAAGTTTATAGCAATACAATCCTACCTCAAGAAACAAGAAAAATCTCAAATAGACAATCTAACCTTACACCTAGAGGAGCTAGAGAGAGAAGAACAAAAGAAAACCCAAAGTTAGTAGAAGGAAATAAATCATAAAGATCAGAGCAGAAATAAATGAAACAGAACAAAAAAACAATAGCAAAGATCAATAAAACTAAAAGCTGGTTCTTTGAGAAGATAAAAAAAATTGATCAACCATTAGCCAGACTCATCAAGAAAAAGAGGGAGAGGACTCAAATCGATAAAATTAGAAATGAAAAAGGAGAAGTTACAACGGACACCACAGAAATATAAACAATTGTAAGAGACAACTACGAGCAACTATATGCCAATAAAATGGACAACCTGGAAGAAATGGACAAATTCTTAGAAAGGTATAAACTTCCAAGACTGAACCAGGAAGAAATAGAAAATATGAACAGACAAATCACAAGTAATGAAATTGAAACTGTGATTAAATATCTTCCCACAAGCTAAAGTCCTGGACCAGATGGCTTCACAGGTGAATTCTGTCAAACATTTAGAGAAGAGCTAACACTGATCCTTCAAACTCTTCCAAAATATTGCAGAGGAAGGAGCACTCCCAGACTCATTCTATGAGGCCACTGACACGCTGACATCAAAACCAATCAAATCACACACACAAAAAAAGAGAATTACAGACCAATAACACTGACGAATATAGACCCCCAAATCCTCAACAAAATACTAGCAAACAGAATGCAACAACATATTAAAAGGATCATACACCATGATCAAGTGGGATTTATCTCAGGTATGCAAGGATTCTTCAATATATGAAAATCAATCAATGTGATACACCATATTAACAAATGGAAGAATAAAAGCCATATGATCATCTCTATGTTTAGAAGCAGAAAAGTCTTTTGACAAAATTCAACACCCATTTACGATAAAAACTCTCCAGTAAGTGGGCATAAAGGGAACCTACCTCAATATAATAAAGGCCACATATGACAAACCCACAGCAAACATTATTCTCAATGGTGAAAAACTGAAAGCATTTCCTCTAAGATCAGGAAAAAGACAAGGATGCCCACTCTTGCCACTATTATTCAACATAGTTTTGGAAAACCTAACCATAGCAATCAAAGAACAAAAAGAAATAAAACAAATCTAAATTGGAAAAGAAGAAGTAAAACTGTCACTGTTTGCAGATGACATGATGCTGTATATAGAAATCCCAAAGATGCCACCAGAAAACAACTAGGTCTCATCAATGAATTTGGTAAAGTTGCAGGACACAAAATTAATGCACAGAAATCTCTTGCATTCCTATACACTAACAATGAAAGATCAGAAAGAGAAATTAAGGAAATAATCACATTCACCACTGCAACAAACAGAATAAAATACCTAGGAATAAACCTACTTAAGGAGGTAGACCCGTACTCAGAAAACTATAAGACACTGGTGAAAGAAATTAAAGATGATACAAACAGATGGAGAGGTACACCATGTCCTTGGATTGGAAGAATCAATATTGTGAAAATGACTATACTACCCAAAGCAATCTACAGATTCAATGCAATCCCTATCAAATTACCTATTGCATTTTTCACAGAACTAGAAGAAAAAATCTTAAAATTTGTATGGAGACACAAAAGACCCCGAATAGCCAAAGCAATCTTGAGAAAGAAAAATGGAGATAGAGGAATCAGACTCCCTGACTTCAGACTATACTACAAGGCTACACTAATCAAGACAATATGGTACTGGCACAAAAAGAGAAATATAGATCAGTGGAAGGATAGTAAAGTATAGAAACCCCAGAGTTAAACCCATGTTCCTATGGTTAACCTATCTATGAAAAATGAACCAACAATATACCATGGAGAAAAGTCTCTTCAATAAATGGTGCTGGAAAAACTGAACATCTAAGTGTAAAAGAATGAAATTAGAACACTCCCTAACACCATACACAGAAATAAACTCAAAATGGATTAAAGACCTAAATGTAAGACAGGACACTATAAAACTCTTAGAAGAAAACAGGAAAAACACTCTTTGACATAAATCACAGCAAGACATTTTTTGACACACTTCCTAGAGAAATGAAAATAAAAACAAAAATAAACAAATGGGACCTAGTTAAACTTAAAAGCATTTGCACAGCAAAGGAAACCATAAACAAGATGAAGAGACAACCCTCTGAATGGGAGAAAATATTTTCAAATGAGTCAACAGACAAAGGATTGATCTCCAAAATATACAAATAGCTCATGTTGCTCAATTAAAAAAAAAAACCCAATCCAAAAATGGGAGGAAAACCTAAATAGACAGTTCTCCAAATGTGGCCAAGAGGCACATGAAAAGATACTCAACATCACTAAATATTAGAGAAATGCAAATCAAAACTACAATGAGGTATCACCTCACAGTCATCAGAATGGCCTTCATCAAAAAATCTACAAACAATAAATGTTGGAGACCGTGTGGAGAAAAGGGAGTCCTATTGCACTGCTGGTGGGAATGTAAATTGATACAGCGACTATGGAGAACAGTATGGAGGTTCCTTAAAAAACCAAAAATAGGATTACCATATGACCCAGCAATCCCACTACTGGGCATATACACAGAGAAAGCCATAATTCAAAAAAATAGATGCACCCCAGTGTTCATTGAAGCACTATTTACAATAGGCAGGTCATGGAAACAATGTAAATGCCCATTGACAGAGGAATGGATAAAGAAGATGTGGTATATATATACAATGGAATATTACTCAGCCATAAAAAGGAATGAAATTGGGTCATTTGTAGAGACATGGATGGATCTAGAGACTGTCATATAGATTGAAGTAAGTAGAAAGAGAAAAACAAATATCTTATATAAATGCATATATGTGGAATCTTTTAAAATGGTATAGATGTACCTGTTAGCAGGGCAGAAATAGAGACACAGACATAGAGAACAAACGTATGGACACCAAGTGGGGAAAGGAGGGGTGGGATGAATTGGGAGATTGGGATTGACATATATACACTAATATGTATAAAATAGATAACTAATGAGAACCTGCTGTAAAGCACAGAGAACTCCACTTCACTGTACAGTAGAAACTAACATAGCATTGTAAAACAACTATACCACCCCCACCAAGAAAAAAACACAAAGGAGGGAGCTATTATTTTTGCCTGGGAGACCAGAAAATGGTTTCACAGAAAAGAAGCATTTTAACAAGGATGTAAAAATAAATGGGAATTTAAAAGTACTTCTCTAAGCCTTAGCTGCCTTTCTTGGGGGTGTAAAAAGCATAAATAAGGATCAGAATCACCATTTTGGGACTGAGCTGGTGTGACTAGAGAGACTGGGGCTATCCTCTGGGGAAGTGATAGGAGAGTGTTTTATTTACCATACAAGAGCCACTGCAGGCTAGGCAACAGGGAACACCAAGGGAGCCACAGTTCTTCCTTTATCTGTAATTTTCCATACTTCTTGAGCCTGAGCTTGCCTGCCACTCCCTGCAATGTGGTATGACCTGGGGGTAACAGGTCAGTCTGTTTATTTATTTATTTAAATGGTTTTTTTGTAACATCTTTATTAGAGTATAATTTCTTTACAATGGTGTGTTAGTTTCTGCTTTATAACAAAGTGAATCAGCTATACATATATATATGTATTTAAATATTTTAATTGAACTATATTTGACATAACACATTGTGTAGATTTAAGTTAATTAAATTTTGTTAATTTGATTTATATATTGTAATATGATTGCCATGGTAGAATAGTTAGCAACTCTATCATATCACATAATTATCATTTTTCTTTAGTGGTTAAGTTCTAGTCTTTTAGCAAGTTTGATGATTATAATGCAATATTGTTTATATTCACTATACTGTGCATTAGATCTCCAGTACTTATTATTGCTCCTTGCAAGTTTGTACCTTTAAACCACATCTGTCCTATACCTCAACTTCCATCTTCTGGTAACCACCATTTTACTCTCTGTTTTTATGAGTTTGGCTTTTTTAGATTCTACATTTGAATGATATCATACAGTATTTGTCTTTCTCTGTCTGCCTTATCTCAGCATAAAGTCCTCAAGATTCATCCATGTTGTCACAAATATGTTGTTACAAATAGCAGGGTGTCCTTTTTTCTCTTGGCTGAATACTACTATATATATATATATATATATATATATATATATATATATATATATATATTTTCTTTATCCATTCATCCACGAATGGGCACTTAGGTTGTTACCACATCTTGGCTATTGTGAATAATGCTGCGATAAACATGGAAGTGCATATATATCTCTTCAATATCCTATTTTCGTTTCCTATATTCTCTCCCAGAAGTGGAATTGCTGCATCCTATGGTAGTTCTATTTTTAATTTTTTGAGAAACCTCCATATTATTTCTCATAGTGGCTGAACCAACTTACATTCCCACCAAGAGTGTATAAGGACTATGTTTTCTCCACATCTTTGCTAACACTTATCTCTTGTCTCATTGTTGGCATTCTAAGAGATGTGAGGTGATATCTCACTGTGATTTTGATATGCATTTTCCTGATGATTAGTGATTTTGAACACTTTTCATATACTTGTTGGTCATTTCTTTGGAGAAATATTTATTCAAGTACTCTGCTCTTTCTTAACTGGATTTTTTTTGTTTGTGTGCTATTGAGTTGTATGAACTCCTTATATATTTTGGATATTAACCTTTTATCAGGTATATAGTTTGAAAATATTTTTTCCCATTCTGTAGTTTACCACTTCATTTTGTTGATAGTTTCTTTTGCTGTTAGAAACTTTTTAGTTTGATGCAGCCCCACTTATTGATTTTTGCTTTTGTTGCTATGCTTTTGGTGTCATGTACAAGACAGGTGTCAAGGAAATTTTCCCTAAGTTTTCATCTAGTAATTTTACAATTTCAGGTCTTAAGTTTAAGTCCTTAATCTGTTTTAAGTTAATTTTTGTGACTGGTGTAAGATAGGGAGGTGATTTCATTTCCTGGTATGTGAATATCCTGTTATGCCCAAACCTTGTATTGAGGAGGATTTTCCCATTAAGCACTCCTGGCTCCCTTGTCAAATACAGGTTGACCTTATATGTATGGGTTTATTTCTGGGATGTTGATTCTGTTCCATTTGTCTACGTGTTCATTTTGATGAAAGTACCATACTATTTTGATTGCTATAGCTTTATAGTAGTTTGAAATTGGCAGTGTGATACCTCCAGCCTATGTTCTTCTTTCTCAGGACTGTTTTTGTGGGTTGTTTTCTATTTCTGTGTAAAATGTCATTGAAATTTTGAACCTATTGACCTTGAGTAGTATGGACATTTTAAGGATATCAATTCCTCCGATCCATGAACTCAGTTTAGCTTCCCATTTATTTATGTCTCCTTCAATTTTTAAAAAATTAGTGTGTTATTGTTTTCATTGTGGAGATCTTTCACTTCTTGGTTAAATTTATCCTTGAGTACTTTGTTATTTTCAATGCTATTTTGCATTTTTTTCAGATATTCTGTTGTTAGTGTTTAGAAATACAATTGATTTATGTATATTGATTTTGTATCATGCAACTTTACTTGTTTATTATTTCTTGTTTACTTGTTTATTAGTTCTAACAGTTTTTTGGTAGATCCTTCAAGGATTTTCTATATACAAGATCATGTCATCAGCAAACAGAGACACTTTCACTTCTGTTTCAATTTGAATGTCTTGTATTTGTTTTTCTTATTTCACTGCTTGGTTAGGACTTCTAGTACTATGTTGAATAGTTGTGGTGAGAGTGGCCATGCTTGTCTTGTTCCTGATCTTAGAGGCAAAGTTTCATATTTTCACCACTGAGTATGTTAGCTCTGGCTTTACCATTTATGGCTTTTATTATGTTTATATATGTTTCTTATATACCCAAACAGCTAAGCACTTTTATCACGAAAGTTTGTTGAATTTTGATGAATGCTTTTTCTGCATCTATTGAGATGACCATATGATTTTTGTCCTTTTTTTGAATTAATGTGATGTATTACATTTATATATTTGTGTATGTTAAACCTTTCTTGCATCTCAGGGATGAATCTCACTTGAAGATAGTGTACAGTCCTTTTAATGTGGTATTAAATCTGGTTTGCTAATATTTTGTTGAGATACATTGCATCTATATTCATCATGTATATTGATCTGTACTCTTCTCTTCCTGTGGTATCACTACATAGCTATGGTGTCAGGTTAATGTTGGCCTTGGAAGTTGAGAAGTGCTCTCTCCTCTTGAAATCAATATTTGGTAGAATTCATGGGAGAGCTATCTGATCCTAGGCTTTTCTTTGTGGGACGTTTTTTGATTACTGATTCAGTCTCTTTACACATTATTGATCTGTACAGACTTTCTATTTCTTCATGATTTGGTATTTGCAGTTTGTATGTTTCTAGCAATATCTATTTTTTTCTAGGTTGTTGAATTTTTAAATTGTTAAAACTAGTCTCTTAGGTACTTTTGTAATCTGTGGCATCATTTGTGATGTTTCTTCTTTCATTTACAGTTTCATATACTTCAGTTCTCTCTTTTTTTCTTTGTAAGTGTAGCTGACTACTTGTCAATTTTACTTATCTTTTTTAAAAAACCAACTCTTAGTTTTCTTGATATTTTCTATTGTTTTTCTCTTCTTTATTTTACTTAGTTCTGATTTGATCTTCATTATTTACTTCCACATGCTAACTTTGGGCTCAGTTTGTTCTTATTTTTTCAGTTCCTTGAGGTATAAATTTAGGTTGTTTGTTTGCAATCTCTCTCTCTCTCTCTGTTTTTTTTTTTTTTTTTTTTTTGGTGGTACATGGGCCTCTCACTGTTGTGGCCTCTCCTGTTGCAGAGCACAGGCTCCGGACATGCAGGCCCAGCGGCCATGGCTCACGGGCCTAGTTGCTCCGTGGCATGTGGGATCTTCCCAGACCAGGGCACGAACCCATGCCCCCTGCATCGGCAAGCAGACTCTTGACCACTGCACCACCAGGGAAGCCCCTCTCTCTCTCTTTTAAATGTAGACCTTTATCTCCATAACCTTTCCTCTTAGAACTGTTTTTTTGGTATGCTTTAAGTTTTGGTATATTGCTTCCAGTTTTGTTTGTTTTAATATATATTCTAATTTCACCTTTAATTTATTCTTTGACCATTGGTTGCAGTACTCTGTTGCTTAATTTTCACACATTTATGATTTTTTCCAGATATCCTCCTATTACTGTTTTCTAGTTTCATGTGATGTGTTTGGAAAATGTACTTGGTATGCTTTCAGTCATTTAAAATTTTTTGAGATAAATTTTGTGACCCGACATATGATCTATTCTATCCTGGACAATGTTTTGTGTCTACTTGAGAATAATGTGTATTCTGCTGCTGTTGGATAGAATGTTCTATATATGTATATTAGGTTCATTTTTTCCAATGTTTCTTTAGTGATTTTCTTTTTGACAATCTATCCATTGTTGAAAGTAGGGTACTGAAATCCCCTACCATTTATTGTATGGTGCCTATTTCTCCCTTCCAGATGCATAAACTCTGGAAGAGGTGACTGCTTCTTCAAATGCAGACACCTGTGCAATACTACATGTATCACATAAAATCAGAGAAACAGGACACCACCAAAGGAACAAAGTATACTTCCAATAACTGAACACAAATAGAGATACACAAATTTCTCAATAAAATTCCAAAATAATTTGTGTAAAGATGTTCAAAGAATTACAAGAGAATGCAAATAAATAATTTAATGAAATCACTAAAATAATACAAGAACAAAATGAGAAGTTGAACTGAATTTAAAAAAAAAAACAAAATTTTGAAATTATGGGGATGACCTGTTAGCTTTATAAATTTGGATGTTCAAATTTCTCCCCAAGTTTGGGATGTTCTCCACCATTATTCATTTAAATAAACTTTTTGCCCCTTTGTCTCTCTCTTTTTTTGGGGGGACTCCACTGATGTGTGAATTGTTCCTTTTAATGGTGTACAATGTCCCATTGGCTTTCCTCATTCTTTTTGTATTTAGTATTTGTTTAATGTATTTACATGTTATAGTGTTGGGCACATATATATTTACTACTGTTATATCTTCTTGATGAATTGAACCCTTAATCAATATATAATAGCCTTCTTTGACTTGTTATCATTTTTAGCTTAAAGTCTATTTTGTCTGATATAAGTATAGTTATCCCTACTCTCATTTTCTTTCCCCCCACTAGTGTGGATTATCTTTTTTTCATACCTTTCCATCCCTTTATGTTAAGTGTTCAAGAACTCAAAGTGAGTCCAGTTGTAGGCAGCATATAGTTGGGTCTTGTTTTTATCATCTGTCCAGTCACTCTATCTTTTGGTTGGAAAATTTAATCTATTACATTTAAGTAATGGTTGATAAGTAAGTATTTATGCCATTTTGTTCATTGTTTTCTGGTTGTTTTTAGTTCCTTTCTTCCTCTCTTGCCATCTTCCTTTGTGAATTGATGATTTTCCATAGTGGAATACTTTATTTCCCTTCTTTTTCTCTTGGGTGTGTCTTCTATATGTTTTTATTTTGTGGTTACCTTGAGGATTACTTGATCATTTTAAAGATGTATCGGTCTGTTTTAACTGATAATAACTTGACTTGATTACATATAAGAACCCTATCCCTTCCCCCTACACACAAATTTTATGTTTTTGATGTCACAATTTACATCTTTGTATATTGTGTATCCACTAAACTATTATTGTAGCTATAGCTATTTTAAATACTTTTGTCCTTTAACATTTATACTAGAATTAGTGGTTAACACACCACCATATTACAGTATTAAAGGATTTTGAATCTAACTCTATACTTACCCATATCAGTGTGTTGAATATTTTCATGTTTTCATGTTACTAACCATCATCCTTCATTTTCAGCTTGAAGAATTCAACATTCCATGTAAGGCAAGTATAGTGGTGATGAGCTCCCTCAGCTTTGTTTTCTAGGGAGTGTTTATCTCTCCTTTATTTCTGAAGAACAATGTTGCTGGTTAAATTATTCTTTGTTGACATTATTTTTTCCTTCAACACTTTTTTTTTTAACATCTTTATTGGAGTATAATTGCTTTACAATGGTGTGCTAGTTTCTGCTTTATAACAAAGTGAATCAATATGTTCCCATATCTCTTCCCTCTTGTGTCTCCCTCCCTCCCACCCTCCCTATCCCACCCCTCTAGTTGGTCACAAAGCACCGAGCTGATCTCCCTGTGCTATGCGGCTGCTTCCCACTAGCTATCTATTTTATGTTAGGTAGTGTATATATGTCCATGCCATTCTCGCTTTGTCACAGCTTGCCCTTCCTCCTCCCCATATCCTCAAGTCCATTCTCTAGTAGGTCTGTGTCTTTATTCCTGTCTTACCCCTAGGTTCTTCATGACATTTTTTCCCTTAAATTCCATATATATGTGTTAGCATACAGTATTTGTCTTTCTCTTTCTGACTTACTTCACTCTGTATGACAGACTCTAGGTCCATCCACCTCATTACAAATAGCTCAATTTCATTTCTTTTTATGGCTGAGTAATATTCCATTGTATATATATGCCACATCTTCTTTATCCATTCATCCTGTGATGGACACTAAAAAGAGTCATGTACCAAAATGTTCATTGCAGCTCTATTTACAATAGCCCGGAGATGGAAACAATCCTTCAACACCTTGAATATATCATCCCATTCACTCCTGGCTTGCAAGATTTCTGCCGAGAAATCCACTAATTGCCTTATAGGGTCACTTTTTATGAGAGATTTTTTTATCCACGCTCCTTTTAAAATTCTCTCTCTTTTTTAAATTTTTGACAGTTTTATTATAATGCACCTTGGAGAAAACTGTCTTTGGATTGAAATTATGGGGTAACCTATTAGCTTTATAAACTTGGATGTCCAAATTTCTCCCCAGGATTGACATTTTCTCAACCATTATTCATTTAACTAAACTTTTCCCTCCTTTCTCTCTCTCTTTTCTTTCTGGGACTCCACTGATGTGTGGATTGTTCCTTTTAATGACATGCTGTAAGTCCCATAGGCTTTCCTCATTCTTTTTGTTATTTTTGCTCCTCTGAATGGATAATTTCAAATGATTTATCTTTGAGCTCACTGACCCTTCTGTTGGTCCAGTCTGTTTTTGAAGCTCTCTATTGAATTTTCCAGTTCAGTTTTGCATTCTTCATCTCCAAAATTTTGTTTTGTTCTTTATGCTTAAAAAAAAATTCAGTTCAACTTCTCATTTTGCTTTTGTATTATTTTACTGATTTCATTAAATTGCTTCTTTGCATTCTTCTGTAATTCTTTGAACAACTTTACACAAATTGTTTGGGAATTTTATTGAGAAATTCATGTGTCTCTATTTATTTGTGTTCAGTTACTGGAAGTTTACTGTGTTCTTTTGGTGATGTCCTGTTTCTCTGATTTTATGTGACCCATGTAGTATTGCACAGGTGTCTGCATTTGAAGAAGCAGTCACCTCTTCCAGAGTTTATGGACTGACTTTGGTAAGGAAAGACCATCATCTGCTGGTAGGGGGAATGCTAAAATATGTTGTGATCCCAGGTCTAGTAATGCAGGGTGCCAAGTGCAAGGGCATGTGGCAACTCACCTGGGTGTGTCTTGATGTCTTGTTGGTTCAGGCTTCTAAGGCCCAGAGTGTCAACGACTGCATTGTCCTTGCTGAGTGATACAGGGAGTCTGTAGTTGCTGCCAGGACTGCTGGAGTCTTTAGTGTGGTACCCAGTAGGTACAGACTAAGGCAGGACAAATGGTGGCCAGAGCCAGTGGTGTGCCCACACTCAGCTACAAGTGTCTGTGTTGTGGCAGGGACTGGTTACAGACACACATGTAGTCGTGGGGGCCAGAGACAGCAGCAAGGATCAGGGACAACTCTGGGCACACTGGCAGCTGCTAGTGCCCTGGTTGCTGGCAGGTATGCTGTGGTTTCAGGGTCTCTCAATAGGTGCACATATGGCAGTGGAGATCAGGGAAGGGAGTCAGCCTGGCAACATGCAGGTGCATAGTTGGTGGTGCTAAGTGCAGGTTAGCCTCCTGGTGCAGACCCTAACCCTATTCCTAACCCTAACCCTAACCATAATGCATAACATTAACTGACATAAATGACTGTGATATGTAGTAGCTGTTTAAACTTGGGTATGTTAATCGGTCTCTATGA